AGTCCTGGGTTCAGAATTCTGAGGCTCAGGGGGAAAGATTAAGGTCAGTTAGCAATGACTGTCATGGATAAGGAGGGTGCAGCTGAGCCTCCTTGTCCCAAATAGACATGCCATCCACCATTCTTCTTGCTAGGACAGAGGTGATACATATTGACCCAAGCTGAAGAGCACTTAACGCTCTCCGGCTCATCAGTTTAGCACACCTTGTTGAAGAGGACTCAGCAAGCCAAGCATGAAGCCAGCTCTCTCCCCCTCCTCTTTCTAGCTTCCTACCTTAACCTTCAAAGCATATGATTTCAAAGCACACAGTCACAGGTTCTAGAGCACCAGCCACAAGGGAAGCCCTCCACTTCAGCAGGAAGCGTTTTGATTGTTCTTGGAAGAACTGCTCACCCCTTACATTTTGTGGGGGTTGAAGAAGAGAAGCCCATTCTTGATGGCTTTCTGGGTTGTTCAGGCACTTAGTGCAGGGGCTGCAGATCCACTGAGAGGCTGGGAGGGAAAAGACACTGGATCTGGAGTCCTGAAGCCAGGGCTCTTATTTGGTGGGGACATCTGCCAAGCCACTGCCTCTGCTGAGCCACAGCATCCTCCTCTGTGAATCGAGTCATGAATCATGACGCCTGCTCTAACTCACAGAGGAACAAATGATGGAGCTCAAAGACATGCAGGTGCGGTGGTCTGCAAACAGTCCAGCGTCATGAAAATACCCAGCCAGATTCTCCTGCTTCCCTTATGCTGGGCACAGTCAGCTCAGTTATTCAGGGAGTTCCTGCTGCCTCAGTAGACTGCTCCAGCCAGGCTTCTCTGCCTCTTTCCTGCTGTGCTGCTTTCTAGACCACCCCCCCTGCTGTGAATCAGCACTCTAGGAAGTAAAAAGTGGTGAACCTCAATCTGTGAGCCTTTTTGGTTTGATTCCAGGCTTGCATTCAGCATCCCACTGAAGGAGGGGATGTTTCATACTTCAATAATGGTGAATATTAACTCACTGTCTGCTAGATATGGTCTTGAGCAGCTTTACATATGCTGATTCCTTTGGTCCTCATAATAATCCTGTGGGGAGGTGCTATTGTCCTGAGGAGGTGCTATTATTATCCCCCTTTACAGGTAAGACCTGGAGAGGCTAAGTAACCTGCCAAACTCACCTGGTAATAGCAAAGCCAGGATCTAAACCCAGGTGATCTGACTACAGACATTCCACACCTAATCATCAGGCTACCCTGGAGATGCTAGTCAATGCTGTGCCTAATAGCTGGATGTTTTAGTGTTTTCTACTGAGAAATACATGTTTTTAAAATATGCAATGCCAGGCTGGGATGTGGCTCAGGTGTAGAGTACTTGCCTACCATGCATGAGGTCTTGGTTTCAATCTAGATGGGCAAAATATTCAAGCTGGGGCTAGGGTATGGCATAATGGTAGAACACTTGCCACAGCATATGAGAAGCCCTAGGTTTGATATCCAGCACCACAAAATAATAAAAAATAAAAAGAAGAGAAAATGTGCAATGCTGATGTCTACATTTATGTATACATATGCACAGTCTAAAATACCAGAATGAGAATTTGCCTAGAATTCTGAGAATATCATGCAGATATAATAATCTAGCATTCTCATCTGTCCCATTACCATCTATCGAAGCCAGATCTAAATTTAACTCCTGGATCCAAATCTTTCACAGCCAAGAAGAGCCAGATGTGGTGATGCACACCTGTAATCCCAGCAACCCAAGAGACTGAGGCAGGAGGATCACAAGTTCAAAGCCAGCCTCAGGAACTTAAGTGAGGCCCTAAGCAACTTAGTAGAACCCTGTCTCAAAATAAAAAATATAAAGGGCTGGGAATGTGCCTCCCTGGTTTACCACCCCACCCCAACCCCCTGCATAAAAAGACTGGGAACATAGTTCAGTGGTAAAGTGCCTCTGAGTTCAATCCCCAGTACAGAAGGAAGAGGAGGAAGGGGAGGAGGAGAAGCAGCAGCAATTTTAGAGTCAGGAGTACACCCTGGTGGGTCCTTCCTCTTATTGTGCCCATGCCTTCTGGAAAAGGAGACAGGTGAAAAAAGCTGAAGTGCTGGTATATTTACATTATTCCTGACAGTTATA